TAAATGTCTTTCTAGTGAAATACCTAAATACGAAACAGATGTGTCAGATTCTTTGGTGTCTTTTATTTCGAATTCAAAGGGATATAATTTATTATTGCTAATTGCCTTTGTTGAAAACTGATTAAATAAATTGCAAATATTTTACATGACTATTGCTTTTCTTCATATTATTCAGCTGATGAAAAAATTATTCATCATTATTAGCAAAAATATTATTACTCTAACTGGTTTAACTACTAAATAGATTAAGCCATATTTCGAAAGAATGTAATATCTAAAAAAAAACAGTCACTCTTTATCATATCGATTTAAATAATCCATAACTCTTAATTTGTTAAATAAAACTTAAGGTCATTGTACATCGAATACCTTAATGCACTGATTGGGCTGTGATAATTCCACTAAAATCACAAAATCACGACCTTTTTCTTTCAAATAAAATATTTGCACAATAATAACAATTATATTGATTTTGCTAACATGATTTTTTTATCTTTCAGTTAAAAGCCCATTTCAGCACCACTTATTCTATAATTTAATGACAGATGTAATAAAATGAAACTTCAACCAAAGATTATGGATTATCTTAGCATGAAGCCGTTAGAATTAAAGTTATTTTTCAATCTTAGTGAAAGTTGGAATAGATTTGTTCCTGGCATTGACCTTGATTTTTTTTTTTTCATATTTTGCTTTCAGATCAATATTGCAAATTATGTTTAACCAAAAGTAAAATGAAATTAACACTCTTTGTCAAATGATTATCAACGTTCATTTTCCAAAAAATGCAAAATGAGAGGGAAAGAGAGAGAGAGAAAGTAAACATTAAAATAATTTTTAAAAATGGTAAAATAAAATGCTCTTATTGAACACTCAATATGATATATTTCTGGGAATTTTCATTAAAAGGCCATTTGCATATTTGCAGTAAAAACTCATTATAAATTGGGAACGGAGCAAACACGGATCCCTGAACATATTAGAGGTGGGATCAGGTGCCATGAAATAGTAAGCATCCCATGTTGACTGGTCACACCCGCCGAAAGTCCTTTGCATTGATCGGAAAACCATGTTAATAAGAAATAAACTACATGTAATTGCCTAACAATTTGTATGAAAAACATTGATTCAGATTGGACCTAACGACAGGTTGTATTTACAAACAATGTCACAATAACAACCATGGAATTTGTAAATGTTGACTTAAAATAAAATTATTGATGTGCCCTTATGACATCAACTTATTTGAGAGAAGGCTGTCTCTATTTAATGTCATGATACTAGGCACATCATTTCCGTATGGTTACAACGACCACATATATAAAAATAAAATAGGGAATCTTTCAAGCCCACAATGTACAGAGTATGAATGTTATGGGACTTTTTAACAATACACCTAGACGTAGCAGTAGTCATAGACATCGATCATCCAATAGACCACATATACATAATGTTTTTTATTAAATTCATTTTAACCTGACGCCAATAAACAATCAGGTCTTCATTTCATTGGCACTTAACTTTACACATTTCCCACTGAAATTTTTTGAATGGACTATTTGAAGAAGTTTTAGTTAGTTCACACTTGGATTCTTCAGCTGTAGAATACAGGTGTGGATGTTGACCGGCATAGGGTTTTTAAGCCGCCACGTGTGTCGGAAGATAATAATTCCGATTCAACCCGTCGGCTCCATAAACTGAAATTTGCCAACGATGCTGTGAACGACCGAAAAGTTATCATTTTAAAATGTCCTGAATACAGTGAGCCCAGATCTTTCAGTGGGCAACAAATCTTGATTTCTATTATGAATTCTGTGGAAGATTATGTCAGACGATAGGCAAAATATGAAGGGGAAGATCTGTTCACTTTGTCAGAATGGACAAAGTGTTTAAGGAATATATGATAGAATCGTGTTAGGAAGTTTAAAGGCAATATGAGTAAGCGAATCTTCTATCCTTCCGTTTACACTTAATTCAAGGTGATAAAAGGATCATAAAGACAACATGTACAATATGAAATGGCTCCAGCAGACAAGGTTTGTCAATAATATCGTCTTCGACTGGAAAGACTCCTTATTATAAGTGTCTTTTAGAAGAACTCGATTTTAATTCTACATCTGGAAATCTAACTTATACTCACAGTACACTTTCAAAGGATGAAACTCTTCCAGATCACATTTATGTCTCAAGTACTTTAAAGATTCCAGTCAAGAAAGTTGAGTTCGATCTACCATAACTATACCGGATTCCTATACTAGTACTTCATAAAAATCCATACAAAGATACACTGAGGGTCCAGCAAAATGCTCTACCAAGACCATATTTTTCCTCCTCACAAAAAATTAACTGTTGTAGAAAAGAAACTTTAAACGTACCGTGCTACAGCATATTCGAGATTTTGTGTAAATGAAATTTGGATTCTTATAAACTCCAAAATATTTCTAAAAAAAATTATGATTTTTTTTTCAGAAGCTAGTAACATCAAAACGTGTGACTTTCTACGACCAATCCTCACAATTAATTAAAAACTACGCTTTTTTTATTTCAAAGACAACTGCTTCTTTAATAAAACTGGAACTGGGAAATTTTCATATTTTGTTATTAGTCATCAACATAATAACTTTCTTAAAATTACTCTGAACATGCTCTTGTATATCAAATCAACTGGAAGACAAAAATACCATATGCAAGTGATAATTGTATATTGAATATACTATATTCTTTCATAAATAAAAACAAACTGTAAATAGAAAAGTTGAAAACATCACATTTATCATAAAATTTGGTTGTTAGTTGAAATCAATACTAGACTTTCAAATTTGAAATCGGTGTGTCTAATTATTTGGTGTCTTTTATTTAGTTCAATTGGATTCATTGATATATTGATTGATATTGATTAATTGATAGATCATCGTTGATATATCAAAATGTTGAATTGAAAGCCACGACAAGAGACTTCTTCATTTCCTGTACGGTAGTACTGGAAGGACGTTCGCTTCTTGATCGGGTGGTCCGGGTTCGATTCTCTTTCCCGGCGCCGCGTCAAATCTTACTTAAGACTTATAACATAGTTCCTTCATTAAAAGCCAGGCATTAGAAGTCAACGTTATTTTTCTTTCAGAAATGACCTTAAAACATGGCAGGGTAAGGAACCTTCACTCCTAAATTGCAGTAAGTGTCGAATATAGGTATAAATTTGATGCCTTTCACCGGTAATGGGTGACGTCTCATATGAGTGAACAATTCTCGCAAGGAACGTAAAAAACAAACAACACACAAAAAAATCTTTTTTTTTACAGAATCTTTCAAATAAATCCTGTTTCATTACAACGGACCAATTGACTTCCAGAAAGAAGGGTACAATCAGTACTCATGGGAATTCTAACAGATTGCTGGGAGACTGATCTTTAGAAATACAAAGATAATGTAAATTAGGGACTCCGTCTCTTTACTATCAACTTTATGTTGGTTACTTATGTAGAGAATCAGAATAAATTTGAACATTAATTTTGTCAATGACAGATCACAGGATATGAAAGTATATGAGGAATGGTTGTAAAGTCATATGTATTGCTCCTGTTGATTTTGGGAAAAAAATTGGCGATTCACCGGATAATGCTGTGTCATTCAATCCAATGAATGTTTATTGAAAGGTCTGGAAAGTGACTGAATGGCAGAGCTCTGTCATGTAGTCATCACTGGGTAAAGTATCAATTCATTCTCTGATTTAAAATTTTCTTTCAAAAAATTCAAGTTTGAATTGCACTGACACATTATAAACAAAAATGTGTTAAACAATTTTAACCAAAGTAACTTAAATTTGACTTCGGTCAATATTTTGTTATTTTCTTTAAAGCATGTTCCGATCTAAAACAACAAAACACCGTATGCAAGCCTAAAACCTTTGGAGTTAGCAAAGAGAAAGAATGAACTTATCACAAATGCTTCAAGATTATGTACATTTACAAAGCAATTTCAATAATAAAATGTTAGATGAAATATGGAGATAACGAACAGTAAGCAAACTCAATCCTTCATTAAAACAAGACAAATCGGGAGCAGAGCAAAAACGCACCTCTAAAAGCAACAGAGGAGGTGCTATCAGGTGCCATGGAGTAGTAAGCATCCACTGTCTACCGGTCACACAAGCCGTGTGCTCCTTGTCATCATAATCGGGCAAAAATATGTAGACAATCAATGTGTAAAAACTGGCCTATCGATTAGTATGAAAAACGTCAGTCAGCATTCCACTTAGTGACACATTGTATTTGCTACCATGGTCATTGTATCAACCATAGAACTTAGAAATGTTGACCTCAAACGAGACTGTTGATATCCTTGTTTCATCATACAAGCTTGTTACACTTATGCTTCATAAATATCTTTCGAGTAAATTAACGTTGTTTTATTTATTTTCCCTGCAACATTTCCGAGAAAATAGGGAACCAGATTTCCTTGGAATTTTAGGAAGGGGTAAACTAAAGGATAAGAAAATATTTATTGTGTGAGTTTTGTATCAGAATAGACCACATGATAATCATAGCATATAATAACTCTGTAGACAGTTTGCCAGATTTTCAAAGCTGGAGGAGACATGCACTTATAGTAAGAACTTTGTAAATTCATTTGAAAACAATCATTTCTGTCTTTTCTTTTATCTGGTGAAAAGATGTTGCATTCTTTTCTGATTAAATTATTTCGAAATTAATTGTGCATAGCAAAAGCAACAGATCCTTATATCGCATAAATATTTAATTAAACTAGATAGATAACAAGATATGGACAATTAATCCGACATTGATGAAAGACGACCATTAAACAAAATATCGTGCTTAAGCTAGACGAGTTAATAAAGTTAATAAACATATGGAGAGACCCTGAAAGATAAAGAGTAAAATGAATAAATGGTAGACTGAAATTAAATTCAGAAATATTTGTATGCTTAACCTAACAGCATTTTTCTTAAAACGTTTGTAGCACTCTTTTCAGTATGTTAAATTCGTTTATGACCCTTGTTGCTTCTTGATTTTCATTTCCACTCTGGACAGCGATGAGTAGTAACCAGTTATATGATTCCAGTTAATGCCTTTACCGAAAGATGTGTTCCCATAATGCCCGTTAAGGTTTGAGTTGTGACAGCTAGCGTACCACCAGGCCCCGTAGAATGCGGTTGCGCAGTTTGGGTCGTCATATTTTTCTTCATTTGCGTCGTTATCTCGATCAAACGTAGTAAAGGGTTGTCCGTTATGCCAGCTCAAATCGTTGCCTAAGAAACAAAAGTGTATATCTTTCAATTCAATAGTTGTTGCCATGTTTTGAGAAATGTCTGGTCTTCTTTATTTGATTCCTAATGTTTATGCATGGGTTTGAATTAAGGTTGGCCTTTGACAACGAAAGTGTAGAAACGATATTCCGTCCGAGAAACTCTCTTGTACTTTTGTGTAAGATCATACTGCTAAATAATTCGTACAAATCGTTTTCTGGGTAATATTGTCAGGTACATGGGAAATATTGTCAAGTACATGGGAAATATTGTCACGTACATGGGAAATATTGTCAAATACATGGGAAATATTGTATAATTAATCATACCTTAAATTTGTACCATTGTTTAGTAGCAATATATTCATTTCCAAAATGTACATTTAATTAGTTCATAAAAGCATGTTAGGTTAGAAAGTTTTTGAGCTGTAAATGTGGAACCATTGATTTTTAAACAACTGCAGATTGTGATGGGAAACGTTTCCTATTATTCATTTTCTATTCAATAAATTAGATTTAATTAATTTATAGATATATTCATTATCTTATCAATAAATAGATTCATTATCTTGACTGCATAAATGTCCTTTTATTTATACCTATTATTTTATTAATTTATTTATTGATGTCCAGTTTATGAAGAAATTAACAGGAACCCCCCCCCCTTATTTTTTTTTTACATTTCATTATTGTCTCCATTCAGATGGTGTCTGATTCTCTCTTTGATGAAAACCTAATAACCTTTATCAAGGAACACTTTTAGCCAAGTCGCTCGCATGGCGCAGTGGTTCTAGCTTCTGCTCTAGAGTCGCGGAGGAGTCGATCCTTACGTCGCACCGTTCACGGTAGCTCAGTCGGTAGAGCGCTCGCTCCGTGATCGGGAGGTCGTGATTTCGGCCGCGACTGACCTAAGTCGATAAAAAATGGGTAGCAACTGTTCCTTCGCCATGCGCTCGGCACTTTGAAATGAAAGTTGCGGGTCCTTCGGATGAGACCTTAAAACTGAGGCCCCGTGTCACGGCATGCGTTGGCACGATAAAGATCCCTCACTGCTCAATGGCCCTGAGTGCCGAGTAAAGGTCCAAATTTTGAAGCCCTTCACCGGTATATGGTGACGTCTCTATATGAGTGAAAAATTCTCGTTTGGGGCGTAAAACAACAAACAATCAATCAATGATCCTTACGTCGCGGGTTTGAATCCCACTGTGGGAAGTGGAGACCGGTCTTTCGGATGAGACCCATAAAACCGAGGTCCCATGTCGCAGTAGGTGCTCAATTGCCCTAAGTGCCGAGTATAGGTCTAAGTTTGTAGCAACTCCGCCGGGAAATGGTGGCGTCTCAATATGAATGAAAATTTTCGAAAGGGAAGTTAAAAAAAAAGCAAAAAACAAACAAACAAACTTTTAGCCAAAAGATTAAATTTGACCATGTAGTTCAAGCCAAACCCAGCAGAAGAATTATTGATTTATATGATATGTAAATTGCCACAGAAAAAATGGAATTTTTATATGATCTCCTAGTACCTGTGCTCCCTGCCTTAAAGAGAGAATAGCTCATTCTATAATTGTCACTTTCAGGTGCTATTGTAAAGTCTGAATACTGGACATAGAAGGACTGACTGTTGTATTTCATATCAATTCGGAGGTCGTATCCGCCCTGAGACGTGATGGCATGTAGATCCTCTAACCCTGAAAATGTCAAAGGAATTTCAAGGAAATATGATTTCGATGAAAATTACATTGAACAGAAATTAAAAAAAAAACAAGCTGCACATCATTCCCATTGTACATGATATTATTTGTATACTACTGAACTATTTCAGATTAAAAAAAAAATTAAAAAAAAGAAAAACATGCATACCTAACCAAAATTCTCCACTGGGACTTCCAAACCCGTTCTTGTAGTCGTTCCATCCCCGATAAAAATTCAAAGACCCATCCAATCTACGTTGTATAACCTGAAGTATCCAAGTTCAAATGGAGTGTTACACATCTCAAGTTTTAGAATGCAATTCATTCTAAAGGAAAGATGTTTATGGTAATTTTATTTGATCTTTTTCTTCTTTAAATCAATACTTACAAGCCATCCTCCATCATCTGTATCCATGTCGCACCAAACAGAAACAGTTCTGCCATCTATCTTCAGAGAGTGTTGTCCTGTGACGTCACCATGGATAAGACGAATATCTTGGCAGTCTAGGAAAGAAATTATCAGCCTACAAGTTTTTATGCTTCTGCAGAAATGTATAAATTGCTACAGTGTGTTACTCTGATGTTCAGTCGTTTGTTTGGTTAAATATATGTTACATTACAACTTCATGAAACGTAATGTAAATGAAAGCGTAACACCTGATGGTTGCTTCATGAGTGTTGTGTGGACTTTACAGATACTTTTGCAAGTGCTTCGTTGATTCGATCCCATTCTTGATGACAAAGGTGTGTCCGTTAATTTTTTTTAGATAATTATCTATTCGCCTTATCAGAATAATTTATATATATATATATATATATATATATATATATATATATATATATATATATATATATATATATATATATATATATATATATATATATATATATATATATATATATATATATATAGAAAGCACAAAGAAATTCACTTTTATAAGGATACCCACTTCCGCCCCGGCCAGGGGTTGAACTCTCGACCTACGGAATCTGTCTCCTAGCAGTACAGGAACAGCGCGTTAGACCACTCGGCTATCTAGGCATCGATGCCGATGGAATTTTCACAGCGCCGCCCTCGGCATCGAATCAAGTTCAACCCCGGGCTGGGGCGGAAGTGGGTATCCTTATATAAGTGAATTTCTTTGTGCTTTCTATACTAATATTTCTTTATATATATATATATATATATAATTAATGTTTGATTAGAACAGGACACCTCTTCTTGGCCATAATTTTGCCAGTCAACACTAATTTTACTTGCGCAGTGGTTAGAGCGTCTGCTCTAGAGTCGCGAAGTAAGGAGTTGATCCTTACGTCGCGGTTCGAATCTCACTGTGGGACGTGGAGACCGGTCCTTCGGATGAGACCGTATAAACCGAGGTCCCGTGTCGCAGTAGGTGCTGGCACGAAAAAGACCCCTCACTGCTCAATGGCCGTATGTGCCGAGTATAGGACAAAATTTGCAGTTCTCCACCGGCAAGTGGTGGCGTCTCCATATGAGTGAAAAATTCTCGAGAGGGACGTTAAACAACATACAATCAATCAATCAATCTAATTTTACATCACACAATGAATACAAAAATTTTTCTTCGCAGAAAGATTTTTTGCACACTGGCACCACAAAGGAAAATTTCTCTTTCAAATTTCATATGACAGTTTGTTTCAACAGACACGACTTCCTTTTTACCAAGGCTACACAGATAAGGCGAATTTTGTTTGATATTATCTAAGTGGAGAAATAGGAAATGCGAGTGAGATATAAAAATTTCATCCCGTAATGATGGACGTTTAAAAGAGGGGAAAAAGTTTTATATCTAAATCAAGTTAAAAAATAAATTTTGTTATTAGTAGAAAAAAACTCACAAACTAAAATGAGTTTAATCTACATTAACTCAACAAATCAATTGATTTTAGTCAGATTGAGTATAATTACCGTTCAGTATATCAAGTATATCAAGGTTATTTTAGAATAATGCTATATTGTTTACCTTTACATTCACAGTTTGGTGAACATTTAACACAGTTCCCAGAGTATCTGTTGTATATGGCATCTGATCCACATTCCCCTTTCTTCAAACAAAAGTTAAAAGATACATTATTGATATACAATATTTGTGTCTTTACTTTAATTGCTACATAAAAAAGTTTAAAATCTTTTCTATTTCATTCTTTTAATTTACCAAAATCAATTTTTGATTTTTGATCCATGAAATAGTATTAACTCCTATGGTGTTAATTGATAACTTACAAATTTGTATGCTGTACACTGTGAAAATCCATTCTGGCTTGTATTTTCGTCAAAGAGAAACGACAAAATGCATCTGTTTTCATCGTTTATCCTGAAAGTAAAGATTGATCGGTTTGCTTGAAAAAAAAACAACAACAAACAATAAATAAATATTTATTAATTTTTAACCTTTTGATGGACTTAAACAATGATTGTTTTTTTTTATTATTTGAGTATACGATTGTTGTCCCAAAAGGTCGTAGACAATGTTTATAACTTTGTACACATTAAAACAATGCTAACCAAATTTCGGGAACCAAAAAACAGGACTGTTGTCGTTATTTTCAAAGTGTTGTTGGAATTGAGTTTGCAACAATTGACGTCGAACTAAGTACACAGTTATGATGAATAAGGGTGCCTCTTCCAAAATTGTGAAAGTTGTGGCCCCTGGGTCAGAGGTTCCGTGGGGGGGGGGGGGGGGGGCTAATCTGTTATATTATATACAAAAAATGAATTTAATGCATTGAAATTCTTCTCCTCTGCCCCTTGGTATTAAGCAAACAACCTAAATGCATAGTTATGGTGAATAAGGGTGCCTCTTCCAAAATTGTGAATTTCATGGCCCCTGGGTCAGGGGTTCTGGTGTTTTGGGCGGGGCTCTATTGATTATATAGCAAAAATGCATTATTACTTTGAAAATCCCCTCTGCTCCTGAGAAATACGCAAACAGACTAAAAGCAATAATATAAATGTAAATTTATAAATATAAATATGAGTAAATGTGCCTTTCTCTGCTTCTGAGTATCTAGGAGGCAGACAGAGTACAAAGTTGTAATAAGTGAAGCAAATGAGAGTTAATCCCCTTTGCTAAATTGTGTTAAATCAAGAAATCCTTGTATATAATTTAATTAACAAGTTATTTGATGGAATGAGACTGCAAGATGAATGTTATATATATAGAAACAAAATAAAAATGAATGTTTGGTTTAAACGAGCAAAGCATGCTCAATGCCGGATTCCTGCCTGGAAAGCAGTATATAATATTGAAAAAAAAGATTATTTATGCAAAAGGGCCAATTGTACTTAGTATGTATATACTGTAGTGTTCCGCTGGACATAGACGAATTATTGTCAGGTAAATTCATGAAGATTATAGATTAGTTGACAAGAAACTGCAAAAAGTTGTTTTATACTTTATCAAAGTGAACAAGTGAACAGAGAGCAGGGTGACTAGGGGACATTTTGCAGTTACCGACAAGTAGCAAATATCTACATGTATGTTGTATACTAAGCCAAGTGGAGAGTGCTGGTAATAAGTATTACTAAGTTTTTTGTATAGCCAAGAGGCAAGTGTTGGTACCAAATGTTACCAAGTGACAACCAGCTAAGTTGTTTGTGTAGCCCAGAGGCATCACCTGATTCACCTCGAGTAAATGTACAGGCATTAGAGATTTCTCTTTGTGTACTTAATTGTAGCACTAGGCAAGTGACAAAAACATATATGTATATTATATTGAATACCCTACACACTAGGCAAGTGTTCATTGTACATGTATTTGTATATTTTACATTCATTATCAGCCCTGTAAGACTGTAAGTACGATCCCAAGGAGATCACTCGGGTCTCGCACGTTATAATAAGCAAGGGTATTTTTACCAGATTATTGAAATTCTTTTGCAACATAGCTTCAGTCGTACGTTTTGATGCTATTGATTTTAGTATAATTTTGATTTCAAATTTTCTTAAAAGTTCCTTGGAGTCTTTAAGTATCCACATTTTATTAACACCACATTTCGAAAATGTTATTATACAGTACTCCTGAAATATCTCCTTCACTTTTGTGAATATTTTGGCGAGGAGAAATTGATTGATTGATTATTATTGTTTAACGCCGAGTCGGCAATATTTCAGCCATATTTCGGCGAGGCGAGGAGAGAAGAAAGGAGAAAGAATCTTCGTAGAACAATTGCTGGAACCCGCTATGCATTTTTGTAAGGATTTTTATGTAGTTTAGGGATCCAGTATAGGTATGATAATTCACATTCAATTGATTGTTGAGAATATCAAAAGTTTTTAAAACTGACACATAATTTTAAAGAATTTCCTCCTTAGAAAGGGAAATTACATTATATGAGGATAAGTTGGATTACCACTTGCAGAATTAAATCCAACTTCTTTTAAAATACAATAAAAAAATAATGAACCTTACAAAACAATGTTGTTATCTGCTTTGTCAGATGTGACCAGTACATATTGATTGTGTAACCTATCTAATTCTTTTTTCACTTCTGAATTATTGAAGAAAGAAGGATAGATGGTTTTCATATCCCCCCCCCCCCAATTTTTAATGCAAGATTTCAAAAAAACATCTGATACCTTTAATCCATTCAGACAAAGTGTCAAGGTCTTTTTCATGTTTGATTAATATCTCGTCAAATATGAAAAGAATATTTAAATTCTTTATAATATTAATTTCAATATCATTTTTTTCAATTTAATGGGAAATAATATTTCGTCAAATATAAAATAAATATTTGAAGTTTTATAACATAAATCTTAAAATCAAGTTATTACAAAAGAATTACTGCAACATATACTAGGATTGTCCCAAAAAGTCGTAGACATGGAAAACAATTTATTCTCTCTTTGCTAAATTAAATTTTCTTCTCTTGTGACAGAAAAAAGTAACTTTTAATGATCACGAATTTCAAGTTTCATGACCATAACTTATAAGAAAATAATATAAAAATAAAGAAAGCATATAAGTTTAGGTCGGCACATGAAAGCAAAGTAGTTTACGTCTTTTATAACGTCATGATCATTTTTTAAGTACTGACCCCTGTACTAAAGCATTTGATTGTTTTTTTACAAACTTGCAAACCACTCTTGACTGAGGAACTTATTGAAATTTACTACTGTTCATAATTTTTGATCAGATTTAAATTTCAATCCTCGAAAGGACGCCTTACTTTGTAGGAAGCAGAGAATACACACAGTTTGACGTCGATCGTGACCCATAATGTTTCTTATCGTCCGAATTTAACAGGCAGTACTCTACTTCTTATTGGCCTAACTATTTTAATCAACTTCTCTACTAGCATTCTAATGTGAAATGTCGATTCTATACTGTTTTCCGTCTCTGAAGTGGACAAACCACATTCAAAACAATTTTATTGCATTGCACATCCCGTGCGCCGTGAACGCTTTTTGACGTCAGTTGTTGCAAACTCAATTCCAACAACCTTTTGAAAATAACGACACCAGTCCCGTGTCTCTGACGCCATTAATGTAAAGTTTTGATATATATATATAAGATTTGTTTTGGTTAAACTGATATAAATTTGAGTTTTATGTTCTACATATTCTCTGAGAAGCAAATGCAATTTGAATAATTACATGCGTAAATTATTCTGGATTTTGTTCGTGGGCCGACAGACCATATTTACCTTGCTATAAATTGTCTTAATATTATTACTATGATAGACATTTATTTAAGATTCCACTATTTGAAGGAACATTGAATGAATTATAGCTATGGAAAATTTGGTTACATGTAGTATTGGTTTAATGTTTACAAAGTTATAAACATTGTGTACGACTTTTTGGGACAACACATCTTCGAAAATAATCAGAAAAACAATCATTGTTTAAATCCATCAAAAGGTTAAGAATTAATAAATATTTATTTATTGTTTTTTGTTGTTTTTTCAATCAAACCAATAAATTTTTACTTCCAGGATAAACGATAAAAACTTATTCTATTTGTCGTTTCGTTTTGACGAAAATACAAGCCAGAATGGATTTTCACAGTGTGGAAGATTTTCCACAAAGAAGATTTTCAATGCATTAATGCATTTTCACTATATAATCATGACAGCACTGCCCTAACACCAGAATTCCTGACCAAGGGTCTATGAAATTCACAATTTTGGAAGAGGCACCCTTCCTCATTACAACTATGTACTTAATTCATCGGCTTAATACCCAGGAGCTGAGGAGAAGATTTTTAAAGGATTAATGCATTTTCACTATATAATTATTAGAGTCCCACGCTAATACCAGAATCCCTGACCCAGGAGCCATGAAATTCACAATTTTGGAAGAGGCACCCTTCCTCAATACAACTCTGTACTTAGTTCATCGGCTTTATACACTGGAGCAGAGGAGAAGATTTTCAAAGAATTAATGCATTTTCACTATATAATCATTAAAGACCCCTTCCTAACACCAGAACCCCTGACCCAGGGCCATGAAATTCACAATTTTGGAAGAGGCACCCCATCCTCATCATAGCTATGCATTTAGTTTGTTTGCTTACTACCCAGGAGCAGAGGAGAAGATTTTTAAAGAAATAATGCATTTTCACTATATATACACTGTAAAAATTGTGTTTAGGAAATAAACACTTCTGTTACATGTTTAGATCTAAACGTGTATAGTATTGTGTTTAACAACTAAACACTTATGTCTTAACATGTTTTATATCTAAACGCGATTAGAAATTAAACACATTTCACTGTAAAGTGCAGAGTTATCTTCCCGGAAATGACACACATATATTTGAACGTTAATTTGAGCGGCTACCTGAACAAAGAAAACACAACAAGCTAAGGTGATGTATCAATGAGAGTTATGACAACCCAATTCAAGGGATAACCATGACGAAATAGTGAAATACGTGAAAGGGCATCTTGTTACTGCAATACATTAAAGGTTTGTTTTCTTCTTCTTTGCATTAATTAACCACGATGAGCAACGTAAATAAAGTTGACTTGGGATATCTTGAATTCGTTCATAGACTTGTAGGAGAGGAAATAATATTAAATGTCATTAAAAACATCTATATTTACAGTTTCACTAAAATTTGAACAATTTTGTTTTTCTAAATAATGTAAAATACCAGTGATATAGTGTACTTTTTCTAAATTCTGGCTTTCTTTCCTACAGGCACCGTACGTAGTCCAGACCGAACTCAAAATACACGTATCAGAGTACCTGGTATCATCTTCAAGCGGAATGTTGTTGTTCCATAATCAACACTTTGAAACTTCATTTGTTGAAGACTACTGTGTTAATTCGACGGTGTTTACAATTATCCTCGTGCATTCGAAATGGATTACTTTCTGGCAGTTATTGATGGGATATAGATTGTAATATGTGGTGCTTTGGGACTTGCTGAAAGTTCATAAAATTTGATATTTTGTGATTGACATGAGGAAAACTCTGCAGCCGATTCAAATTATAATGATTATAATAAATATATATATAAATATACATTTTGTATTTTTACTTCAACAATTCTTTAATAAAGCCTTTTAGAAATATTCAATGAAGTTTTGATATTAAATTGTCAGCTTAATATTATTTTCTTAATAATTTTGAAGATGAAAAGTTTGTTATCTATGTGTACGTTATAAATTATGTGTCATTCTGATTGAATTGTTGAGACTAATCAAATCTATCCAATTTTATCTCCTACATTATTTGTGTAAATTAAGTACATGTACATCGCACAGTGTCCATTGCATTGTATAATTAAATAGTTACATATCCCAGCGTTCCGTGGCTTTATGGAAAATAATTAATATTGGTTACATATTTTGACAATTATGCGCATTTAAAAAACATATACTTTTTGTGCCTAAATTTACGAGAATGTTTTGTTTTTCTGCAGGTACAAATTAAACTTATGATGTGTTTAGATATTAAACACATCTGCTGTTATGTGTTTAGAATTTAAACACTTGTGTTTATGTGTTTAGATATGTTTAATTTCTAAGCACACAAGTGTTTAAATTCTAAACACTTTCTAAGACATGTTTAGGAATTTTACATGTTTAGAAATTAAACATATAAAAAAGGAGGTGACAAGAAAGTGTTTAGAAAAGTGTTTGAATTGTAAACACATTTTTTACAGTGTATTCAACAGAGCCCGACCCTAGCACCAGAACCCCTGACCCTGAATTTCACAATTGTGGTAGAGGGCTCAATTCTTATTAAAATCATGCTAACAGTTTGACTGCTTGATGTCCAGGAGTATAGAAGGATTTTTAAAGATTGCATTAATTTTATGGTTTTAGCCCCCACCCCTCAGTCCCCATGGAAGGAGAGGCTATGAATTTCATAATTTTACTCCTTTTCACCCATAGATACTAGATGCCAAAAGTGCTTCAAATTGGTTCAGCGGTTTCAGAGAAGAAGTTGAAAATGTTCAAATGTTAAAGCACATCGCACGACGATGGACGAAAACAGATAGCAAATAGGTCACTTGGGTAAACTCAGGTGACCTAAAAATGGAACTCGTAAATTACATACCTTGTCATTGGCCATCTCAAAATTATTTTGTTAAAAATATTCTGATTGCACACACAAGTACTCCGAAGTTGATATCAAGAAGATGCTTAAGTTTCAGATTGACAATATCTAGGTAGTTTTTGGAGATCA